GCCTTCTTTTTGAAGGTGGCTCAACACCCTCTCTCTCTTTCAATCTATCAATCAAGCATTAGTAATTCCTGCTCAACTTTCTACCTCCGTTCCTCACATTCAACGTATTTCCTAAGCTATCAATTTCAATAGCTTATCTTATCTTTCTTTTAAGCACAGACGTACCGTAATCAGCAAACCTACAAGTTTGAGACCATTCTATTTCATGTCCAGTTTATACTTTTGTCCGTTGGATCCAGCTACCTTTGCAAGCATTTTTATGTTCTCCCAATCTTTGTCAAATGGATCGTAACATCGACCACATGAGCAAACAATCTTGTAGCAGCCGGATCTCAATAATGGGTCATATTTCTCTCTAAATGATGGCATAACAGAAGAAAGTATGAGGGTTTTTCTGAGTACTGTTTTTATGCCCCACTTCTTCACTAATTCGGTACTCTCAAAAACCTGTTTTTAAACAAAAAATTTTTTTTTCAGTTGATTTCAATAGTAAATATCATTTTTTTTTATGCGATATGTATTCAGCCTTTTTCGTTTAAGATGATGAAGGACTGGTAGTTGATTTTTCCCACAATGATATGCTTAGAGATGACGTTGCTATTGCTTTCCCACAAATTTTTTTATCCAGGGTGGTGAAATGGCAAAATGTCTGTACTATCTTGAAATTCCCATTGCTAATCGTGGCAATGTGGTGTGATGGTTGGCGTGTCGGAATCAGACTCTACACTGTCATGGTTCGAGTCCCACTGGGTTGTTGACACGACCTGGGCGAGGTGAAAATTGCAGTCCACTTCAGCATAAATAAGAATAGCTTTTTGTAAAGCAAGGCTATGCGAAATTGAATGGCAATGTCAACTCTACTCACATCATTGTGGGAAAATCCAACTACCAGTCCACTTGTGGCATTAAGAGAAACCGGGTGAATACACTTCACATGTCTCCCTCATATTTCTTGTTATAACAGGCACTTTTGTGGCTTCACGAATGCAATATGAGATGTATTCACCCGATTTCGTTTAAGGCGATGAAGGACTGGTAGAAGATGAATTTTCCCACAATGCTATGAGTTGAGCTAATGTTTCCATTTAATTTCACATAGTCTTGCTTTCCCAAAAGTTGTTCTCATCCTTAAACTAAATTGGGTGAATACATCTCATATTGAGAATTTACTTTATTTTTCGAATAAAGTATTGTTCTTGTGACTACCAGTAAATCAGTAGTATGAGATGTATTCACCCTATTTGGTTTAAGATGATGAAGGACTGGATGAAAACAACTTTTGGGAAAGCAAGGCTATGTGAAATTCAATGGAAACACCAGCTCTACTCAAATCATGTGGTAAAGTTCTTCTTCTACCAATCCTTCATCACCTTAAACGAAATTGGGCGAATACATCTCATACTACTGATTTACTGTTAGTCACGAAAACAATACTTAATTCACGAATGTAGCAAGAGCCCAGCACCTATTTGACGAAAGGCCACATGTGATCATGACTCGTGGACTTGAGTTGGCCATTTACTTAAAGAAGAGCACATGATGTGTTTTGCTCGAGATTTCTGTCATTTACACGCTTTTGAGGATTATCCTCATATAAACTGATCTCGTACCGCATTTTAATACATCTTTATCTCACCTTAAGATCAAGAAACAGATGGCCAGGTGAGGTAATAATCTTAGAATTTTAGCACCAACTATCTGTTGCTAATGGATGTGAATATAAAATTGAATCTGTGATTGCCGATAATTAAAAAAAATAGGCTGCATTCGACGCAGTCTGGTATCTACTTCTAAGTCTCATTTTGGCACATGGTCGAATTTCCTTCTCCCGCAACCATACACATTGCAGGATTATACCGAATTTCATACAGCCGAAAAAAAACCATGTGCCCACTTCTAGAAGCGGGCAGAGCAGGTGGCCAAACAAGTCATGTCATATGAGATGTGTTCACTCAATTTCGTGTAAGGTGATGAAGGACTGGCAGATGAAGAATTTTCCCACAATCATATAAGTTGAGCTGACGTGTCCATTCAATTTCACATATTCATGCTTTCCCAAAATTGTTCTCATCCCGGCCCGAGTGGACTGCGGTTTCGACCTCGCATCGGTCTTATCAACACCCCAGCGGGAGTCGAACCGCGACAGTGCAGGATGGGAGCTTGACATGTTAACCACTGCCACGAGCTCCTTTTGGGTCACAGGGCAAATGTGAATTTTCAAAGAAGGACAGGCCTTTTTTCCATATCATATTCGTTTGGTGGAATTGTCGATAACACAAAAGTATATTTTCCTATAACAATCGACTACTATAGTTTATTTTTCGAAATTGGGTGAATACATCTCATACTACTGATTTACTGGCAGTCACGAAAACAATACTTAAATCGAAAAATAAAGTCATGTCATACCTCAGCAAGAGCGCAAAATTGTGTCAGGCATGAATGTAGCTGGCTGTAAATATTTGCTTCATCTCTGGCGATTTGGATTTAAAGAGTGACGATGACTGTCACTTCGCTGCAAATAAGCGCCCAGCGCTTATGGATGAGTCCGTCAAGACGACATTTCTAGGGCTTCTTTGTGCAAAACAACAATTTCAACCGCCCGAATGCTTTCTGTTAAAACAAATTTGCGAATCTTTTATACCCAAAGTGTATTTCCAACTTAAAAGTCTGCTGACAATTGCACATTTTGTGACATTCTAAGCACTCTAATTGGACTCATTTCATCACGTATTCCTCTCTACTTGCATCGTTACAGATTAAAAGTCCGAGGTACCATTTGGCCTCTAGAATATAAAATATATTAAAACCTCTGCAACAGATAGCCACATACAAAAACCTGAATATTTTTATAGAAATTCAATATGGCAATTATGCACGAGTCATTGGCCAAATTGGCTCTGTTGCTCGGTTACAAGAGCATTCGGCCTGAAGCACATTTTGGTATCCAGTCTTAGCTGAAGCAGAGAATCTCGTAATGCGACCTTTTGTGCTCCCCGCCTCCCCATGGAAAATAGGCACAATTGTGTGATGGGTGTACTTTTCCGACCGATAGTTCCCCATTTATGTCGGCCCTGGCAACGAAGAGCACTTCACCTCCTTCCGTCATCCCCGCAGCAACCGCCTTTGGATGATTGCTTCCACCGGATGAAGAGATCCAATGATAACTGCGGGTGAAAAGTGAGATATCATGTTTTAATGTCTTATACGTACTGGGTAGGTATTAGTGAATATAAATATCTCTTACATAAGAACCCATGCAACTTTGGATCACTTTATTAAGTCATGGTTTAAACTGATTTTTGTCTGTACCATCTTTCTGATTAGGAAGAAATACGCTCATCATCATGTGCATTTACACACCTCGCTGCATTATTCTATATATTTTTCCCTTTCAACCAATGTCCATTAATTCATTACATATCTTGGCAAAGTATCTGGCTTTTGCTGAAATTATAATAAGTTCACAGCAGCTCAATTGCACAATTCTTATTTTCTAGTCAAATAAGCAAACCAGAACTTATTTTTCGCTCATAAGTAGGGTTTCGAAACTCATATAAATTAAAATAATGTAAGCAAGTTCATATTTCAATATTTTAATAAAATATCCTACCAACATAATCATAATGAGATCATAAGAAAAGGCTTAAATATTGCTTACTTTAATGAGAATAGTCTACTGTCCCATGGAAAATAAATAAATTCTTATGTTAACAGAATTTAAATATCCATCAGTCCAAGTAGTTAAAATTGGGATTTTCTCCCTAGATAAATACTCACAAGAGTTGCTATTAGCAAGATTAATATATTCATATTCTGTGCCTCGGTGCTGATGTATAAATTATTAAAATACTTAAAAGATCCAGCTTATTTGATATTTACGGCTCTACTACTTCTCTACTCTACTTCCAAAAATGTTACTACCTGCAATTTAAGAGGAATTATTTATTTTAATTAGTCTACATTTATGGCATTCTTTACAACTCACTCTCTTCTGTTTACATTCAGATTCGTATTGCATAGCACTTCGAAGCTACGCACAGCTACCTCTTCACCCCCGAACGGTAGGTAAGCAGAGTCGTGACCTCTGACCCATTTTCCTGGTATGACATCTCCTCCACTCCGGCCTCGTATGACGTAGATGCCACTTCCAGCTTCTATCGCGTGCGGAGGTATCGGTGAGTCGGATGAGACTGGAAGCCAACTGAGATGGGCCTGATGGCTTTCGAAGTGTGGGTACATCTGGTGATCTGATGAAACACGATAAGGTAACGATACAAGCTTTAGCATTTTTTCGGTTCCACATTGTTTTCGCCACACCATCTTTGTTTCCATATCTTTATCATTTTTTCTTTCGTACTCAATACGCCTACTCAACAATTTGGCAGCGCCGAGAATCAATTTTCCCTTATTATGATGACAAAATGTATTCTCTACATTTGACTAAATATATCTATATAAATATGTATATAAATAATTATATATATATAGGCATTTATTTATTTATTTATATTTATATGTGATTATAAAATGATTTGACAAAGTGGACACGAAGACCGAGATATTTTGACCTCTATTTTGATCGCAGACTTCTTTCAATGATCTTGTTTTCACAATTGGATCATATTAGCAGGAAGAAATAAAGAAACGCACCTTATCCGGAGTGCATAGGATGCACGATAATTTTCAGAGTCGGACCGTGAACTTGGTACATTGCCAGACGTTTCGCTGGCATCGTCAGCG